CCGGGGGCAACCATGAGGGGTTTCCTCCACCTGGCGGTGGTCATGGCTGCAAACTTCACTGCTCAGCCCGATGCCGACGACTCTTGGATAAAAATCCGCTTCTGGCCCGGGAGTTATGCCGAGCCGGAACCCACTCCCGAACCCATCGTTGAGGAAGACCGTGGCGTGGGATCGCGCCCGGTCGCTGAATTCCTCCGGGATTGGCTGGGAGGATGGACTCTCCTCGAGCCGGAGCCCAACCCGGCTGGAGTGCCCTCAGGGGAGGGTCATTCCGAAAAGTCGGAGGATGCCAGCGATCACTGGTTTGTGACGTTTGAACCTTCTTTTTAAGGTCGCGGACACCGGTTTTGTTTACTGCGGGGCCCTCTGCGCCTCTGTTGGCTACGCGGCCAAGTGGGCCTACTGGCTTGCTGTGGCGGTTGCGGGGGTCTTCTGCCTCCAACTGGCCGTTTGGACGATCAGTTGGGTGGTCATACCCGTTCTTAGGCACACCTATGCCTTCTACCGGTACCTGACGGGGCAGGGCCCCTGGCACGAGGTGGTCAGGCTTCACGGGCTCTCTTCCTTTAGACCGAAGTGGAAGGGCCCTGCCACCGGGACCCCTTGGTTCGAGGGAGGAGTGAGAATCGAGAACCCCTCGATTTGTTAGTGTCTGACGGGGTGGCAGTTGCGCGCCTCAGACACGGGGCCCTCAGGGGCCGAACTGACAGGCATGGCTACCTAGCCCGGTGCAACAGCGTACACTCCAGCAGCCATCGATACTGGCGCAATCAGATTGAAGTTGCGGAATGCGCGGTGCACCTTTGTTCCGCTGACCCCTGTACAGCACCGGATTGCGCAGAAGTCCACGTGGGCTTGAGCGCTGTGGCGCCCCGCTCTGAGGAGGTTGACCTTCAGGAAGTCGCGGGCAAGGGGGCCTTAGCCCGGTGCTGGACAGTTACCTCTTTCTGGGGCTGCCTCACGTGCGGGGCTTTCCGGCGCTGTGCCTCGTCCTGCTGTAAGGGCGGGAGGAGAGCCTGTCGCCTTGCCCTTTGCTGTTGCCTGCGGCGAGCTTCTCGCCCGGGCAATGGCAGCGCGGGTAGGAGGGACCTTCACGATGATTCGGAGACTGAATCAGAAGGGGGAGAAGGGGACCATATCTGTCAAGCAGACCAGGTCGCGTTGGGCGGACCTGAGGCAAAAGGGCCTCTTTCGTTGGGGCCATGCAAGGATTGCAGTTGCGGGCCACCCATCCGCCTACTGCAACCGGACGAGCGCACGAGCTGCACGGAGGACTTGATGTGTGAAAACGATGGGTACTACTTCCGCGCATGTCAAAGGCACCGGGACATGTACGAGGCGTCTCGGGCCAAGAGGGCCTGCGCAGTAGAGGGCTGCAACAACGCCGCCAGAAGTGTGCTCAAAGGAGTGCGCCTGTGCAAGCTCCACTCGGCTAAGGAAGAGAAGGGGCCGAAACCTCAGAGCGAAGCAAAAGGCCCCCGCGCTGTCGGAGACGTCGTTCAGGAAGCAGACAAGGAGGGCGCCGCCTCACCGCCTGAGGCGCGTTCCGCGCCCGGGCAAGGGGGTGGTGACTCCAGCAACTTTGCCGCTACGGGGAACGAGCAGGAGGACTCCAAGGATTTGGCCGCCTACCTGCAGGCAAGGCTGAATGGAGAGTCCCACTCAGTCGCTCTTCTCAGCACAGCAAAGCGGGACGAGAGCTTGACCGCAGCAAGCCGACGCCTCACAGAAACCGCAAAGGCGGCACTTCAGAGGCTGCCTCCGGACTACCCGGAGGAGGTAACTCAGCTCATCCGGAGCCTCGCCGGAGCTCGCGAGAAGGGGGAGACATCCGACCCTATCCTCGAGTTAGGAAAGAGGAGTGTGGCGCGGACCGCGGCCGAGCTACCTCGCCCGGTCGAGGCGCACAAGCCCGAGTCCTCGGTGGTGCCTTTTACGGTCCCGGCTCCGCGGTTCGGCGTTGCTACCGCTGCTCCACCTCAGGTGAGCGCGGCACTGCTCTTTCGACAAAGGGAGGCCAGCAGGGCGACTACCAGCGACAGCGCGTCAGCGGTGCCTCTGCCGGACGGCCTCGTGTCGGCACTGAGACCCTCGCGGGCAGGCGCGTTCACGGAGCCAGAGGCACGCCCTACCGACGACACCGCAAGGGCATTGCAGACGATTGCGAAGACTCTCAGTGCCCGTGACGAGTCGTCCTCTCACGATAAGGGGAAATTAGCCAGCATTGGCCGCCCGGAAGAAAGGCTCGTGTTCATTGTTAGGGGATGTGATTCCCTAACCGTGCCTGTGTGTGCTTGCACCACAGGAAAGGAATTGTTCCACTCGTTGAAGACTGCAGGGGCCCAGGGAAGGCCACAGATGCGAGCGCTGCAATTTCCGGTGAACGTCACCAACAGGGTCGCATACGGACTGGCCTCTCTTTCCATCGGCGGTCGAGAAGTCAAGTCTCTGCCGGAGTACGCCCTCTCTGTTGCCGACTTCCCTTTGACCTCGGAGGAAGACTTCGACAACTTCGTCCCGCCACCTGACAGCCGGTTGGAAAAGCGTCCACGCCACCCGACGACACTGACAGCGTGGTTTCGGGCCGCCCTTAGGATGGCCTGGGCGGTCGCCTGCGTCTATGGCACCGAGCACTACGCACTCTTCGAAGCTGCCGCCACCAAGCTTCTACACCTGGGAGAAGAAGCAACCTATGCTTGGCCGCTCCCCTGGGTGATGAGCACTTGGGAAGAGCTCTGGAGCCGGATGGTCGAGGAACTTCGGCAGCTGGACCGGGAGATGCGAAGGCTGATGGGGGAAGAATCCTATTCGTGGGAAAGGATCCGGTTTTTCTGCACTTCGCCGGACGATCAAGGGAACCCTTGGCTTCGGCTCCCTCGTACGTTTGACCTTGAGGATCCCAAGGAGTTCTTCGCGTCGGACATAGTCCCGAGACACCACAGGGCTCTCACCCGGAACTGCAGCAGGCACTGAAAGCACAAGGCCTGGGCACCACCGCTCAACTGGGCGGGGGTCGGGCTGGAGGCGACCCCCCACACGAGGAAGCGGCAGTGGCGACTCAGTTGGACGTCCCAGAGGCCTCGAGGGCCGGAGAAGTCGCGAAGCAGGGAGAGCCCGCCAGAACTCCAGTGGTAGCCAAGCTCCAGGGACCCGCTCTCACTACCAAAGAAGCCTCGAGAGCTCTCGACCACAGGCCCAAGGCCAGAGAAGGAGGGGGTTATCTCTGTTGGGACTATATGTCTCACAGGGGTTGCCACCTGGGGGCCAAGTGCCCACATGCGCACCCCCCAGCATCGCAGATCCCAGCGTGGAACAGTCTTGACTGGTCAGTCCAGCTTCAGCTGCTGCGCCGCGGGGGTCTGAAGACCAAACCTAACACCAAGCCCGAAAGCAGCAGGAGCACGTTGAAGAGGGACAGCGCCAGGCAGCGGCAGCTGCCAAGGCCCCGGAACGTCAGCCGACCGCACCCGCGGCAAAGGCCAAGGCAGGTAGAGGACGGCGCAAGGCTGGAGGCCCCTCCGACGAGGCCGACGAAGCCGCGGTCGAGGCCCCGCCGCCGGAGGAGTTTACCTCTTTCGCGCCGACTGACGCTGAGACTGCGTTAGCAGAATGGGAAGAAGGGCCTGACTTCACCTGGTTTGCTGACCAGTCCGCTCCCGCCGTCCGAGAGGTGGACGCCTCCATTGTTGCCAGGGCGCGCCAAAGGCCAGAGGCGCGGCATCGCGCCCGGGCCATGGACGCCGTGACTAAAGAAGCTTCTCTGGAGGGTTGGCCAGCTCTCTTGGCTACGTTCGTAAACACCTCGTTCGCCGTAAGGAGTCGCACCCAGGGGAAACCTTGAACCCGGACCACGTTCTTGAGGCTCTCCGCCTCGCAGTTGCCGAAGGCGGACCCGAGTTGGCCACACAGGCGGAGGCCGAACTTGAGCGAACCGAACCGGTCAAGGCAGGGGAGTCAGTTGCCTCCTTCTCGGAGGCGACCCCGGCTGGGGACTACCTCAAGTGCGAAATGCGATGGGGATCGCACTCTTGGCCCGTCGTCGACTACGGCGACAGGCTCTGCTTACTTCCCGGTGTCTCCGACCAGGTTAGGGGGGCGCCCTCTTCTGGTGAGCCCGAAGGCCGACAATGTCTCGTCTTACACTGCGTTGCAGGCGTCCTGCTCCGCAAGCAAGGGCGTCTTCCCACTTCGGCCGAAGTGGCTTCCGCGGCTGCAAAGGTCCGTAAGGAGCTCCTTGAACGCGCCGTGTCTTCGGACACCGCGTTGGGTCCAGTCCCGGATGAGCTCTCTCGGGCCGAAGCGGACCTGCGTATCTACGCGCACGACCTGCGGCATTGGGCGCACGACAAGGACTATCGCTGCTGGCCGCGTACCCCCTCCCGTTTTTCTCTCGGCACCGGCTGCTGTTTCTTCGCGTGGACCCGCGTGGCCACGTCACTTCTGAAGAAATCAGGGGGGCGGACGCCACGGCCTCTTCGGAACCCATCGTGCTGGTCATTCACCAGGGCCACATGCGGCTGGTGCACGCCGCGCCTGGTCTCGTCGATGGTGCCTTCCCCCATCCGCGGGTCGTTCCCGCACTCGGATGGGCGGACCTCCTTGAGGCGGCCGGGACACCCGAGGCTTGGTACAAGCCCGGAGCCGTCCTTCGATGCGCGCATTGCGCCCCGACCCAAGACGATCGCCGCACGGGCCGAGGGTTCGGCGTTTTGGGCCTGCACCCTCTTTTCCGCCAGCACACGCCCACGCTGAAGGCTGGCGGGCCGTCCGCGCCCGCGATCCCCCCGCCTGCCGCGGGGGCTGCTTGTTGGTGTTTCGGCTCTGCTACGCGCACGTTCGCACGGGCTCTCAGTCTTCTCGCGGTCGCCGCCGTGTGCCTGGAATCTTTCGTCTGGCCTCTCTCTTCGCGGGCGCCCGCTCATGTTTGGATCGACTTTCGCGGCGCCCGTGGCCTCTCTGCTGCCACCTTGGGCGCCTTGGCGCGCTCGGCGTCCGACGCTGGGTGCTCCGTTACCTTCGTGGGCCCCGCCGGCGTGTCCGCTAGGTCTTCTGTTTTGCCGGCCCTTGGTGCCTTTCGCGCGCGTGACCCGTCTGCGTCGCCGCTTTGCCCCGTCACCTGGGTCAAGTCTTCTTTGGCCGACCTCGCTGGTTCCGACCTCTCTCCTGTTCGCGTCGCTGCCCTCTTTCGCTCCTTCGCTGGCCCTCGCGGGCCGGTCGAGGGGGGGGGGGGTCGGAGGGGGGG